TTTTCCAATCTCGAAGCACATCGAAGCGGAATAATAATTAATATAAATATTTTGTTTTTCCCAATTTTGACCAAAGTTTTTATATTAATTTTAATTTAATTCAAATTAAAAATTTATCAATTTTACTCCCTGTAACTGACTGAATACGCCTAAATAAATATATTCTTATATATTTTTGTAATAAATTAAAAAATAATATTTCCTCCTTCTCCGAAACTAAGTATCCATTTGTTTTTTGCACGTAATTTTAAAAATATTAGTATTATATTGGGATATAGTAGGAATAAAGTGGAAATGACTAAAATAACCTTATTAGTATGTGTGACATAAAAATAATGACATAATATACTGTAAGTTGTAAGGGTATTTGTAACGGTATGTAGAAAATACAGTTACTAAAAAATGAAATAGATATTTTGTTATGGGACGGACTAAAATAGAAAAATTGATACTTTGTTATGGGACGGAGAGAATAATATTTTATTTGTTAGCAGATGTAAAATAATTTTTTATTTGTTTGTCCATTGTTCTTTATGTATATGCATACTACTTCAATATATTTATAATTTACGTAAAAAATAAAAATATTTTAGAATTAGTGTGTGATTGTGGTTACTATAACATATATATGTATTTTTTAGTAATATAAATGAAAATAGTAAAACATGGTAGATAGTATTTTTGTATTACTGACACGATTTTTTATATTGTATATTAATATATATATATATACCTCAAATTAAATTAAAATATTAAACAAACACATTTTGTATTTAATATTTTGTAAGAAATGCTAAATGTTACTCCCTCCGACCCACATAATTTGTCCTTATTTTCTATTTTCGTCCGTCCCACATAACTTGTCCTTTCTATTTTTGGAAATATAATTATGCACTTTAATCGCATTTTAAATTTTAAATTTTATAATTTTCTTAATTTTAATTAAACTATTTAATTATCTTAATCTTAATTAATAATTATTTTTACTAAATAATAATTATTTTTATTAATACACTTCTTAATTACTTACTAATTATACTTTACCTAAATTTCCTTGTCTACAATAATACACTCATATTACATGAGACGGAAGAAGTAGTATATTTTTTTAATAACAAAATTATATAACAATACACAGTCATAATAATAATTATTCTAATTTACATTTTGTCTTGATCTTTAATTTAATTCATATTGTGTTTGGTTGTAATTTCGTAATAAAAATATATTATTATTTTTTTACAAAATATAATGTCAAAATATTATTAAATAAAAAGTTTGATTCTTTTTTGAATCATAAAATTAATAATAAATTTGAATTAATAATATATAAAATATTATTATATAATAAAGTTTGATTCTTTAAATATATTTAAAATAATAAATTAATTTGAATTTCAATTTTTCAAAATATTAAAGTATAATTTATTTATTTATTTATTTATTTTTAAGGTGATAAGTGAAAAAATTGACGGATAAATCACCTTAGTTAAAGTAAAAATTAATGTTTGATCTTATTAAAAATAAATTAGATTATATTATAGTCGTATTTAAAATGTGTGTCATATTATTCATATTTTTCTCTATTGAAAATAAATTTATTATATTTATTAGTCTATTGATAGCTTTTCAACTGTATATGCATGTTATGTGTTTATGTTTAAATATAACTTTTGAAAATTTTTTAAATAACAAAATATTATATTTAATACTCTATTCATCCGTCTCAATACAACAATCTTGTTTACTATTTTTGTCCGTCTCAAAACTACCCATATTTTTTCATTTTTATTACATAAATTACCACTATTTTTTATATTAATATACTAACAAAGGCAAAAAAAAATTTTATCCATATTTTTTACCAATTACCAATATAATATCAATATTCCTTAAATCTCAACCCAATTAAAACTATAGTTTTTGGATTGAGGGAGAATAACATTTTATAAAAATATATATTTCATGCTATTTCCCTTGTCCAATTTCAAATGAATGAAAACAAAATTGAGTAAATTTTAAAATATATATACACTAAAAATAAATAATGTTTAAATTTTCAAAAATATCTACATCAATGTACCTAGTTTAAAAAAAAAAAAAAAAAAAAAAAAAAAAAAACACCTAATTAACATGTGATTCATCAAATAATCTCATATTGTATTAGGTGGACCTCTACATCTCCTGTTGGCAGTTTAATGAATATTTAAATATTTTTTTTTTTAATATAATAAATTATAAATTTTAGTTTTTTTATTTTACTCTTTCATATTAAAATAAACATTATATATAATTTTCAATTAAAAAATATTATTTAATCAAAAATTTAAGTCAACTTTTCATTTCAATTACAATCAAATATCCCCAAAATATTTGTAATAATAACTAATACTCCCTCTTCCTATGTAATATGGGTGTATTACCGTAGATACGGGAATTTAGATAAAGTATAATTAGTAAGTAATTAAGAAATATATTAGTAAAAATAATTATAGATTAAGATTAAAATAACTAAATAGTTTAATTAAAATTAAAAAAAATTAAATTTTAAATTTTAAAATATGATTAAAGTGTATAATTAATTTTCTAAAAGAAAAAGAACAAATTATGTGGGACGGACGAAAATAGAAAATATGGACAAATTATGTGGGACAGACGGAGTACTAGTATGATCAATCATTTTTATAATTGGTCCAAAAATAAGGCTTGTTCGACTGTTATAAATAGAAGCTTTTGAAATTTTGAAATTTTTTAAAAATGATATCAAATATTTTGATATATATTTTTATTATATAATATTGAAATTTTCTATCATCATCATCATTATTATTATCTATTTACATTTATAGTGTGTTTGTTTGTTTTTTTCATTTTAAATAATAAAATTTTGAAACTAAAATAATGATTTGATGGAATATAAATGTATTAATTTGATATTTTGAATGAAAAATTAAATTTTATTTAATATATTATATAAAAATATATATTTAATTGAATTTTTTTTAACACAAAATGTAAATTAAATATACTTTATTATTCTCAAATTTTCAAAACTTCAAAGCTTTAAAACCCTTTTTTATTTAGCATGACCATAAAAAGTTTTCTTTTTAGTAAACTATAAAAGAAAAAAAATATATTTTTATTTATTTTTCTTAAAATTTGTATCCGTTCAAATGATAATAAAATTTGATAACGGATGGAGTAATATATCTCAACAATGATTTTTAGGTTTGATTGATTATAGTAAGGGTATGTTTCTTTTGACGTAGTTTGGAAAATTTTTGTTTGATTTTGGTATTAAAATAATGTCCGATAAAATATTTTGTGAAAAAAAAAAATATTTTTTTCGAAAAACGCAGAGTCAAAATAGTAAAAATCTGGGATTTGGGTTAAAGAAACAAACCCTAAGTATTAGAATTGAATTTTTCAAATAATATTATAATATAATATACCTCTCCCGTCCAGCAACAAAGTATATATTTACTTTTGGTGGGCAATTTTTTTAAAGAAAATTAGTGGATAGTTAAAGTAATGTAAAAGACAAATTTGTTTTATTTTTTGGTATAAAAGTAATTATGCCGATAGTAAAATACGAGTATTTGTGCAAAAAAAAAATGAGGTATTTAATAAAATAATTATTTTATAATTGAACCATTCAAGATAAAAATATGTATACTTTTTTTGTTTGGACGGGGAGGGTATTTTGTTATAATAATCAATTTTTAATAAATATATACTACATTTTATTCATCACATCATTCAAATAAAACTTTTCAATTTTTTCTCCTATCACATCCCTTAACAATCTATATATTTTTTTCATTTTGGTCCGTCTCATAACAAAGTATCAGTTTTTTTTTTTTTTTAGTAATTGTACCATCTGTCCAACATTACAAATATCATTTCAATTTACAATATATTACACAAATATCATTATATTTATATTATACAATACTAATAATTTTAATTTAGTCTTTTTACCTTTATTTCTACTCTATCTCAATACAATACTAATATTTCTAAAAATCTGTGTAAAAAATAAATGAATATATGGATATGGAATGAATTGAGTATATTTAATACTATCTACTTAAATTTCGGTAACGAAAACTAGATTTATCACCTGAAATAGAATAAAAAAAATATATTTTTAATAATAGTAATTATTTAAAATTCAATTACAATTAAACAAACTCATAGTGTCATTTTTCAAAGAAATTAACCTATAACACACATTCTTTTGATAAGGTTTGAATTTTTTTTTTTAGTTTATATTAAAATAACGTATAATAAAATTTTTTATAAATATATATTTTTATTTAGGGTGTGTTTGTTTGGGGGATTGGATTAGATTTCCACTATTTATCTCATTTCTTCTCTCCAAATATCAAATTAAAACACCTATTTTTTATTTTTATATTATACTAAAAATTAATTTTACATTCAAAACATCACATCAACACCTATTTATATCACATCATACAACTATTCAAATTCAAAATTTTTATTATTCAAATCCCAACTCAAAATCCAAACCCCCAAACAAACACACTTAAAAAAATTAGAATTTGAGATGTAAATCTTATATAGGGTATATTTATTTAGTCGAGTATGTCCAGATTTTATTGTTTAAACTCTTTATTTTAAAAAAAAATATATATATATAGTTTTTTTTACAAAATATTTTATCAAATATTATTTTCATTCTAAACTTAAACCAATTTTTTTCAAAACTTATAAAAAGAAATACACCCATAAATTTTAACGAGAAGTAAAAGCAAACTTTAAGTTTGGCAGCTTAAAAAAAAAAAAAAAAAAGGGCCCGGGTATGTGTATGTGTATCTGATATCCGCTATGTAAGAATTAGGAAGGCATGTAAAATGTATGCCGAAAATTTGATTGGTTTCTTGGCGAATACGTATCCGAAATTACAAAATAAAAATTAAAAAATAGATAGGGCCCTAAGGCACAGTAGACGAAAAAGACAGGCGTAGGAAATGCCAGCGCATTGCAGGCCATCCGCTATAAAGGAACCACTCCCGCAACCGTCGCTCCACCGCCGTCACCGCCGCCGCCTCCGGTACGCTCATTTTTTTTTTTTGTTTCTCTATCAGTTTCAAGGATATACGCTATTTACGTTGCCTATATTCACCGCACATACATTCCTGGTGGTGGTGGTGTTTTTGCACTTTTTTTGGATATGGACATTCGCCGGAGGCACCGTACCAAGCAGTCAAACCGCGCGCGGCAGCACCAGTCCGCCGGCGGCGTCAATCCGAAAGCTTCCGACGCTCTGCCTCTGCCTCTGTACCTGACCAACGGCATTTTCTTCACGCTTTTTTTCTCGGTCGCGTATTTTCTTCTGCACCGTTGGCGTGATAAGATCCGAGATTCCGTCCCCCTTCACGTGGTCACGCTTTCCGAACTCGCCGCGGTTGTGACGTTAATTGCGTCGTTTATCTATCTGCTTGGATTCTTCGGAATCGATTTTGTGCAGTCGGTTATTTCGAGATCAGAAAGCGACGTCGAGACCCAGAGGTTCGTTGTCGGTGAAGATCGAGTAGTTAATCAGCGCTCCATGCCGACGCAGGCTGCGTCCGCTTCCAAATCCATGGAGACTGTTCCTCACAACGACGAAGACATCGTCGAACGAGTCGTTTCCGGCGAAATTCCGTCTTACTCTCTCGAATCGAGGCTCGGAGACTGCCTCCGAGCAGCCAAAATTCGCCGTGAGGCCGTGCAACGCCTCTCCGGAAGGTCGATTGAAGGATTACCTTTCGAAGGATTCGATTACGAGTCAATTTTAGGGCAATGCTGTGAGATGCCCGTCGGATACGTACAGCTTCCGGTAGGGATAGCAGGACCTCTTCTGTTGAACGGCCGCGAATATTCCGTTCCTATGGCCACCACCGAAGGGTGTTTGGTGGCGAGCACCAACCGCGGTTGTAAGGCCATCGCCGCCTCCGGCGGCGCCACCTGTGTGATTCTCCGTGACGGAATGACCAGAGCTCCGGTGGTTAGGTTTCCCTCAGCCAAAAGAGCGGCGGAGTTGAAATCCTACTTAGAGGATCCTCTGAATCTCGATACACTGTCTGTTGTTTTCAACAAGTAAGCTTCTCATTCTCCTGCAATTTCAATTCTTCGATTAATTGTCAATTCTGCCATTGATGTCTTCATCGAAGTGTTTCTGATTGTTTTGGAGCTTTTCTGAGGATGTTCATGTTTGTGCATATCGTTTTTTATTTCTTTAACAGATCAAGCAGATTTGCAAGACTCCAAGGAGTCCAATGTGCAATTGCTGGAAAAAATATGTACATTAGATTTAGCTGCAGCACTGGTGATGCTATGGGGATGAACATGGTTTCTAAAGGTGTTCAAAATGTTCTAGACTTTCTTCAGAATGATTTTCCAGACATGGATGTTATTGGCATTTCCGGTAGGCCTTTATTTCCCCTAATGTTTTGGACTTTTGGTACATGTTTTTTTACCTTCTAAATCTGTGACCAAAATCATTGAAATCTCTGTTTGTTTGTTTAACCATGTCAGTGGCCATTGATACTGTATTGAGAATATGCGAAAGCTTTAAGATCTTTAAGCTTAAGTTTTTAGATGAGATGATTATGTAATAGATCAGTTGCTTAAATTCTGGCTATAGAATCGTTTTATCGAACGGTACATGATTTTTGGATTATGTCTATAAGATCTTTCGTTCTTTATTGATTAACTATATAATAATTAATGATAAGTATCGCTTTAAACGTTTCGATGAGAATGTCATTTAATCTTAAATTTTGGCTATAGAATCTTACGAATCGAACTGTACATTATGTCGAATAAGATCTCAGTTATTTGTTGGTTGACTATGTAATAATTAATGATATATATCCCTTAAAGCTTACGCATTTAGGTGAAATGGTTATTTAACATATCAATTGCTTAAATTCTGGCTATAGAATCTGTATCTCGAACCGTACATAATTTCTTTTTGGATTATGTCGAATAAGATCTTTCGGTTCTTGTTGCAGGAAACTTCTGCTCCGATAAAAAACCATCTGCCGTAAACTGGATCGAAGGGCGCGGAAAGTCCGTTGTATGCGAAGCCGTTATTACAGGGGACATCATCGCAAAAGTGTTGAAAACCACAGTCCCAGCGCTTGTCGAGCTCAACATGCTAAAGAACCTCGCGGGATCTGCTGTCGCCGGTTCAATTGGTGGCTTCAACGCACACGCTGCCAACATCGTCTCCGCGATTTTTATCGCCACCGGGCAGGATCCTGCGCAGAATGTTGAAAGCTCTCACTGTATAACTATGATGGAAGCCGTCAACAACGAGAAGGATCTCCATATCTCCGTCACTATGCCATCTATCGAGGTACTCGACATCCCATCCCATCCCGCACATCATTAATGATCTTACATTGTTTTACGAAAGCGCGCTATATTAATTATAGAGTAAACTATTTTTTTAGTTTCGGATCTAACCCCTTTTAGCATTTTAGAATTTTAAGTAGATTCTGTTTGAAAATAGTTTAGTAAGTAAAAAAATTTTGCTAAAACTCCAGTGCTGGATTCGCCACACTGGCCTGCCATTGCTGACGTTGCGCTAACGTGGCTGATATGTCATCGTCACGTAAATACCACGTCAGATGACCATTTTATCGAAAAAAATTTACTTACGGGACTATTTTCAGACAATACATTTATAATCCTAAAAATGATAAGAAAAAAAAAAGGTCATACATGGGACTAAAAAAATAGTTTATCAAAACAATTTGTAAAATAAAAAATAAAATTCACGTGTTGCTGACGTGACATCTACGTGACGATGATATGTCAGCCGCGTCAACAACGGCGGGTCAGCATGGCGAATCCGACACCAAAGAACCATTTTAGCAAAAAAAAAAATTTACTTATAAGATTATTTTCAGACATGGTCTACTTAAAGTTTTAAAATGATAAAGGTGTCAGATAGCGGACTAAAAATACAGTTTACCTTTAATTATATATAGTCTTACAACATGACTGATGCGTTGAACCTTCCATTTTTCTTACATTATAGGTCGGGACAGTTGGCGGCGGAACCCAACTGGCGTCGCAATCAGCTTGCCTGAACCTGCTCGGCGTAAAGGGCGCGAGCAAAGATTCTCCGGGGTCGAACTCACAGCTTCTGGCGTCCATTGTCGCCGGCTCCGTCCTGGCTGGCGAGCTCTCTCTCATGTCTGCCATTGTCGCCGGCCAGCTCGTCAAAAGCCATATGAAATACAATCGATCTAGCCGGGACTTCACCAGAATTTGCGCCTAGATCGACAGATCTCTCGCCAAATGCTGTTAGACGATCATGCGAGGGATGCAGTGCGACGTATGGTCGAGCCCCGACATGCGGAAACCACCCCATGCCGTGGATCTTTTACAGCTCGACGTCGAAAATTTCCGATCGATTCCGAAGAAATTGGACGGTAGCATATGAACAGCCAGGTTAGGTCTTGCTATATTCCTTTCTATCATATTTATAATATTTCCATTTTTAGAAAAACAATTCGACTTATCGACCCATCCCGTAATAGTGTTGTGTAGTGGTTTTTTACTTTTTTCTTGTAAAAGTTTAGGTTAAGTTGTGGGAAGAATTTAAGCTTAGTGTGTAATGTAGATGTATGGTAGATATGTAGTTGCGGTATATATAGATATATGCATGTCAGGGTGGTGTTATAGTGGTGAATGATTTTATTGAATAGTACATTCAATAGTATGTGAATAATAAAGTAACAATATGTAATTCGTATCAATGGCAGACCAAAGTTATTCTTGAAAAGAATTGAGCCAAAATTATTCAATATCATAATTATCAATTTTGTTTCAATTGATTTTTTTTTGTTTTTTTTTTATCAATTTTGGTTCAATTCAAATAAAAATTTATCAATTTTAGTACTATGATGGTTGACTGAGAGTGAACGCGGTTGTGTTGGTTTGAACGCATTTCAGACAGCGACGGTGTTGATTCCGGTCCATGTTCATGATCATGTTCTCTCTCAACGCAGCCATATTTACGACTCTATTTTCATCACGATCATGTTTTCAATATAGTCATATTGTAACTAATATAATATATTACTTAAATTTAATTTATATTTTATATTTCTAAAATCATGATTAAAAATTTTTATTATAAATTTTAAAAAATATATAAAATTCCAATTATAAAAAACATATATTAATATATATTACTATTTATATATATATATTTTTTTGCAATTATTTTTAAAATATTAAAAAATAATTATTTTTTATATTATGAAATAATTCAAAATTTTATTTTTGTTGAATTATAAATATATCAAATAATTTTAAAAAATAAATGAAAATAATAATAAATATGACCTATAATATGATTATATTGAAAACAAGTTGTGAATATGGCCTACAACATGATTAATTCGAGAATAGGGTTGTGAACATGATCTACAATATGACTAATGACTATGTCGAGAACAAGGTCATGAACATGAGACTGTTTTGAACATAAGCAAGAACATGGCCGTGTTCAAAAGTGCAGGGTAATCAACACGGCCGTGTTGGCTGTCTGGTACGCCCAGTCACCCTTTTTAGTCGTGTTCAGTCTCATTCAACATCACGAGACTAAAATTGATAAATTTTTATTTGAATAAAATAAAAATTTATATAACCAAAATTGATAATTATGATATTAAATAAGACAAAAATAATTGTTATTCATATATACATATATATTGGCGTATTCAATCAAATAAAAATATGGACATGATAAGCATTGTTCATATATGATTGAATGGATGTTCCATTTAGTCAGTAATATAATCATGCAATATAAACAACAGCTCAGGGGCTCAAGTCTTTCAGCCCTAGTTCATATTAATAATATATACTCCCTACATCCCATAAATATAGTCTTAATTAGGTTGGATAGGAGATTTTAAAAATATTAATATTATATTGATAGTTGATAAAAATTATGGATAAAAGACTTTTTTGTCTTTGTGGGTGTATTAGTGTAAAAATCAGTGGCAATTGTGTAATAAAAAAAAATATGAGTAACTTTATGATGATATGATTATTTATGAAAATAAGACTATTATTTTGAAACGGACAAAAATGGTAAATAATGTATGTTTATTGAAATTATTTGGTGTCTAATTTTTATATTTGGTGCACCCCCAGCAATACTATATATATATATAAGTGCTTTCTATGGATAAAAGACAATTAGCTAGTTTGTTTTTATTATGCATGTAGTGTGTGTGTTTTGATAGAGAAAAATATAGAAATGATTGTTAGTTGGTGGGCAAAAATATAAATAAAAACTGTTATGGTTCTAATTGAATAAGTATATCAGAAAAATTGATTCCTTGACACCTGCTCTGCATTATTATTATTATTATTTTTTATTTAATTATTATTATTATTATTTTTTATGACGTGGGAACCATAGCCGCTTAGGTACAGACGATAAGACAATGGCGAACCATGGTTCATTCACTATTTTATTTTATTTTATTTTTAAATTATATTTTGAAAATATTATAAAATAATAAATCGGAGTTTATTTGATTGTGATTCGAAATAAATTAAAAATAAAAAGTTGATCTTAATTTTTGTTTTAATAGTATTTTGATTTAATATTTAAAAATAAATAATATTATTTTATTAAAAAATGTTTAGAATAAATCATTTAAATATAATTTTAAATCATAACAAACCCTATATATTATATATACTTACTTTTGTATTTTTAAAATTAAAAGATAGTGGTATAATTTTCGTTAGGAAAAAAATCACACTTCACGTAAATATTATTGTTGTTGTGGTTTATTTTAATTATTATTTTTTATTTATTTATATTATATATACATGTATATTTTTAAAAGGTAGATTCGATATTCGATCCGGATTCAACATATCTATTTGCAATTAGGTTCAATTATTTGAATATTGAATTTGCATTGGATCCAAAGCATAAGGGTAAATTTGACCTGATTCCGACCCGTCTACTTAGGGTGTGTTCGGTTGTAAGATTTTTACAAAATCTTACTATTCATCCAATTTTTTTTCCCCAAGAACATCAAATCAAACACATATTTTTCATTTTTTATATTATACTAAAAATAAATTTTACATTCAAAATATCACATCAATACCTATTTATATCACATCATACAACTATTCAAATTCAAAATTTTTACTATTCAAATCCCAACTCAAAATCCAAACCCCAAAACAAACACGCCCTTAGAATCGGACTCAATTATTTCGGCATTGGGTTGGGTTGAATCCAGAGTTTAAGGGTGGACCCAACCATATCCAAATTGGACCAATTAATATATAAATAATATACTTTCAGAGCAAAGGTAACAATTTATTTTTTGTATATAAATTTTAGTATATTAATATTTTGTAGGTAATAATATAATATAAAAATAAAACGATAAATTTATCCTTAAACTTATTTATTCTTTAATAGTATTGTGTAAAATATATAAATATTTTTTTATTAAAGTAAAATAAAAAGAAACATATACATTAAAAATTTGAAAGTTCGACAAACTAAAATGATAAAATAGCTACCTTGGCGATGGACGGATGAAGTATCAAATATATTCTAAAAAATGATTTGTAACAATATAATTGTACTGATTTTTTTTAAGTTTGATTTATTTATTTATTATAATATTGTTAAATAAAATATATAAATATTGATAGATGTCTAAAACGTATAGTCCGGATCGGTTTTAATTTTGAATTAAATTTTTAAAAGTTACAAACATGATTTGGATATGTCAAGTCCATCAGATCTTATTAGAGCTGACAATTGGTCGATTCGTGTTGGATTCGTGTCGGGTTGAATACTTACGGGTTAAATTACTCAACCCTAATCCAATCTGTTTATTATCGTGTCGGATTCGTATTGACCCGTATACATAATGAAATTGAATTTCTTGATTCAAATTAAATCATTTTTGTTGTGTTGTCGTATTAGGTTAGTTTTTATTGGTTTGAACGTAAACTAGGTTGAATTATTTAAAATTGAACTTAGTTTAAATTAATTTATGAGAAAATTAATAAATTATGATTATTTTACCTATATAATAAATATACTAATCAATATTAATATATTATAATCGGGTTGTCGTATCGGGTTCGAGTTGAGGGTCTCAACCCTAATCCGACCTGTTTATTATCATGTTGGGTTCGTGTCAACCCGTATACATAATCGAGTTGAAATCTTTGATCCAAATCCAATTATTTCGTGTCGGATCACTTTTTGCCAGATCTTATCTTATATACTCGGGTTAAGTCCGACTATAATCGGATTTGAATATTATAGAATGTGATTCGGTCTCGAATCTAATTATGGGTGTGTTTGTTTGGGGGTTTGGATTTTGAGTTGGGATTTGAATAGTAAAAATTTTGAATTTGAATAGTTGTATGATGTGATATAAATAGGGTTTGATGTGATGTTTTGAATGTAAAATTGATTTTTAGTATAATATAAAAAATAAAAAATAGGTGTTTGATTTGATATTTTTGAAGGAGAAAAATTGGATGAATAGTGGAAATCCACCAAAATCCTTCAAACAAACACACCCATATGTCTTGGGTATGTCTTAATAGATCCGCCCCGTTGTAAAGGTATACATACCTCTTTGGTGTTTTTTTTTTTCCACAATTATTTTATTATTATTAAGTTTTTTATTTAGTATTTAAAATTTTAAATAATTTTGTTATAAAATACTATTTTCGTCTAAGTTAATTTGTCCATTTTAACTGAAGCAAAATTTTAGATATTATGTATTTATTAAGTAATTAATAAGTGCATTAGTAAAAATATTTATAATATAATAAAAAATAATTATAAATTAAATTAATATGACTAAATAGTTTAATTAAAATTATAAATTATAAATTATAAATTTTAAAACGTAATTAAAGTGTATAATTATATTTTTAAAAATAGACATATTATGTGAGACGGATGGAGTATTAAAGATTATGATGTGTTTTATTGCTAATTTTTAATGAATAATAAAATTATGGGCAAAATGCCCCAAATAACACGGTTTAGCCCGGAGCCGATTCAGTCGATTTTATTATAGTAGTAATATTTTTAATTCATGTAAAATGATGCTCCCTCTGTCATTCAAATCTATTCTCACTTTTTTTTATTGTCATCTAAATTTATTCATGTTTTCTTTTTTAATAAAAAAATACAATTTTTTTTACCAAAAAAAATAAAAATTTCTATACATATTTTTCTTAAAATCCATGGCTGGTCAAATGAGCACACAATTGGATAACGGACGGAGTATAACACGGTTCAACCCTAAACCACTCTAGTATAGATATAGTCCGGTCTGGGCCAAGATGGGTCAAAATATTTAGGTCTAGTGAATTTGGGCTTCTTCAGCCCACCCATGCAACTTGAGCAATGGCCCATATACATTTTAGGCTTTGAAATATTTGAATTATGTTTTTATATATACTCCATCCGTCTCGGAACTAAATATCCATTTGCTTTTTACACATAGTTTTAAAAATATTAATATTATATTGGAATATAGTATGAATAAAATAAAATGACTAAAATAATCTTATTTCATAAATAAAAATATATATTTATTTATTGAAAATTATACATACAAAATAATATTAATTTATATTTGAAATACAGATAAACACTCTCCTGACATATTGCTTTAAATGTAA